TCTCTCTCCCTCTCTCTCTCTCTCTCTCTCTCTCAGTGTCATGTGGCGGGTTCAATCACTCTCATGTCACTCCAAACACATCTCTGGGTTACGCTCATGCCACACCGTCCCGTGCTCTCCCTTCCCCCACTGTCAACACGCGTGAGGCTTTGGGTAAGAGCGCACACACACACACACTGAGTTCATGCTGTGTTTACGTGTGGATGCTGTGCTTGATGTGTGTTGTTCTGTAGGTGTGATCATGGACATGTTTCAGGCTCCCACCCTCCTCCAGGAGTCCATGTTCAACAGCACTGTTCAGCCGGAGGACAGCTTTGAGAAGAGCTGCAGAATCAGTATGTCCCACACACACAGACACACACAAGCTCCAGCCTTGTACCTGCGCATACCTAATTAATCTAATTAGAGCTGCACAATTCATTAAAACATTGATCTCGATTCAAACACCATTCGACCTCATTCCTAAATGACAGCAGTTCTGCTGTCTATTTTAAAAGAACATAACACAGTTTCTGCCAATCTCGTGTTAATCTAGAGTATCTATAGAGTATTAGAGCATCCTTCATATCTCTGTAGTCTTTAGTTTGATCAGATTTATAGAAGATAGATTCTCTCTGAAATCAGTCGAGCTCCTGGAGGTGTGTCGTGGGCGGAGCTACAGACATTGACATCAATAAAACAGGAACGAAAACTTCCCTGACTTTTTTTTTGTTATTGTTGCCGGTGCGACTAACTTTTAGTGGTTGCACTGGTGCCACGACCATGCTGCCCAACTTTAAGCGCTGCCATTTCTTTTGCATATGAGAGACCACAAACGGCAAACAAGACCGAAGCGGAATGAAACTCTGCTGCTCCAAAGTACTTTTTCTCAGCTATAGGTTTCAGACAACACTCTTCATTATTTTCTAATGCTTAAAGATGAAAAATAAACTAAATGCTTTAATTGTAAATTGGTCATGTAGATGAGAGGCCCTAATGACCTTTGTGACCTAAGCTGTCAAATCATTTAATATTTCGAAGAATAATCGCAGAAACCATTTGAAAGGATATATATATATTGAAGCAGTGGTGAAGCACCTCTTCAAATTGATAGTGACAGCCCAGTTGTGTTATTTTTGTCTCTTCACTTGGCTTTTGAAGCAACGGCGTGCTGCTGGTTAGAATGTGCTCTGATTGTCGTCCTGTGTTGTTCAGGCAGCGCCCCCTCATGTGTTAAAGCTCCCAGCGCAACTCCATTCATGATATATCAGGACAGAGATGAGCAGGAGAACGGAGGGTGAGACACGAGGCCTTCGTTCATCCAGTAATGTGAATGGTTTCTGTAAGTGACCTCTGACCGTGTTCTCTCCATCTGTCCTTCAGTTCTGGCCAGTACCGAAGCAAACCACCACAGAGCCGAGCGCTGATGGAAGTCCCAGTGTCCAAAGCCAATGTAAGCACTGTTCGCAGCTGTAGAGTCATAGAGGCCAGTAATCAAGCAAGTCTGTTGACGTTGTGTGTCTTTATTAGGACACTCCAGTCAGCGCAGAGTCCATCACGGATGAGAGTACCCTGTGGGCAGCACGTAACGTCTCTGTAGGCCCGTGTCCCAACCACACCTGTGACTTCTCCCTGTCTGCTCATCTGGTGTCCACACCGCTCCACCCTCATGCACCGCACTCATGGGACATGGAGGAGCTGCAAGGTATTCATCCTCATTTACCTGCTGCTCTTGAGTGAGCTGTGTTGATCTGGGTGTGATTTGTGACTGTCTTCTCTCAGAGGAAAGCGCAGGGGTCAGGGGCATCAGCGGAGCAGAGGAAAACCCGTACATACGACAGCCCACCAAACTCAGGTATCAGCACAACATCATTACTCAAGCATTTCTTCTGCTTATTTCATGCATATCATCCATAGTGTATCCACCTTATTTTGCAACTAGGAAGTAAGCTATTTCCTTGTGAGTCTTATGATTCTTTAGCCTGCACTGCAAGTAGGGCTGCACTGAACAAGTACGATACCGATACTTTCTTTTTATTTTTTATTTTTTATTTTTTTTGTACTGGGCACCGATTAATCGCATCCAAAATAAAAGATTTTGTTTACATAATATATGTGACCCTGGAGCACAAAAGCAGTCTTGAGTCGCTGGGGTATATTTGTAGCAATAGCCAACAATACATTGTATGGGTCAAAATTGTTGATTTTTCTTTTATGCCAAAAATCATTAGGATATTAAGTAAAGATCATGTTCCATGAAGATATTTTGTACATTTCCTACCGTAAATATATCAAAACTTAATTTTGATTAGTAATATGCATTGCTAAGAACTTCATTTGAACAACTTTAAAGATGATTTTCTCAATATTTAGATTTTTTTTGCACCCTCAGATTCCAGATTTTCAAATAGTTGTATCTCGGCCAAATATTGTCCTATCCTAACAAACCATACATCAATGGAAAGCTTATTTATTCAGCTTTCAGATGGTGCATAAATCTCAATTTCTAAAAATTGACCCTTATGACTGGTTTTGTGCTCCAGGGTCACATTTGTGTGTGCATTGTGTATACTTATGTATATATAAATACACATATATGCATGTATATATTTAAGAAAAATATATTGTTTATATATTTATATATAAAATAAATTATATGAATATAAATATATATACATGTAAATATGTTCAAAATATATGCTGTATGTGTGTGTATTTATATGTACATAATATATATACACCGTGCACACACATATATTATGTAAACAAAAACTTTTATTTTGGATGCGATTGTTTGACAGCACTACTTTTTTTGTACCTGCTGATACTGATTAGAGATGCCTGTATTTTCATTGCATTTGTAATTTTCAAAAACCTTGGGCAGAGTAACCAAAAGAATACGAATCATATAAGTTGGCTTTATTTGTTTAGCAAAAAGATAATAAAAGCAAATAATTGTAAATAAATTAAAATATGACAACAAATAGCAGTTTGCAGTATCACGCAGCATAACAGACTGTTTTTGGACTGGTAAAATGACGCTGGAAGCCTTACAAATGCATATGTCCATTTTTAGGTTAAAATTAAGGTGGATACTGCAGAACATTGAAGTAATATGCTATGCTAAACATTTTTGCATAGAATTAGAATTTAAAAAAGTGAACGATTTTTTCCTAAAACTATGATGACTCCATCCCACTCGCTGAATTATCATAAAAATCATATAACGATGCCCCGAAATAAATTCTGGGCTGAAACCAAAAATTCAGGATGCACTTGGCCAAAAAGTGAAAGCAAAAATAAATTGTATTTATTAAACAGTTGATTAAACAAATCTATTTAATAATAAATACTCTAATAAAAACTTCAATTGTGCAAACATTTAAATTGCACATAAGGCACAAGGTTTATATTAACTTTTTAATAACAGAATTATGTTTCTACTCCAGCTTGTTGAAATATAAACATTTAAACACTGGCTGTAATAACTTGTTTTCATGACAGATTTATTCAAACATACATAAAATAATGAACAAGTAAAGTGAAAATATAATGAATATGTAATATAGTGCATATATTTATCAAAATCCCCTCTCTAGAGTTATTATTATTTATTTTTCAAACTATTGAATTTATGGTCATTGAATGTCTTTCCTGAGGTAAATGTGATGTTACGTGGCATTATTGTTCTCAAGCTGTTATACTGACGTCTTTCTGTGGTTGAAACACTGATTGAGCGTTTACATGAGAGATGTTTAATTTCTGTAAGTTGTTCTGTTTCTTTGAATGAATACATATCATATGATTCCATTACAAATGAGAAATCAATATGATTCAGCACTAGCTTCACACACAGCTGACATGTTTACCTGCATAAAACAGACACTGACAGTCAAAATGCACCGTTGGAAAAATGCTAATTAAACATCACTGTTTCTGTCATTGATCTCAGCCTTCAATCTATTTGTTAACCGTTTCAGATGTAAATGAACAATCAATCTCTGCACACCTGACGGCAATTGATAGGTGCGTAGGAGACAAAGACCAAAAAGATCAAAACTAAAGGATAAAGAAAACAAATCCCGCACACTGTCAATTTGTGCAAAAAGTATCAAAATATGTTTAATAATGTTTCGTTCGCATGACCTTCATCCGGTATCTTCAAACATGAAATTACAAGCAAAACCACATTTAAAAAGAAATCATGACCAATCTCTGCAAAGGACCATCGCTTAGTAATAACCCACACTGACTGGGTACATAATCAACATCAATCAAAAAAAAAATTATTATATGCATATACACCCAAAAACCGCATGTATTATAACATCACATTAAACAGTGCTTCATCGTTCATGCCTAAAGGAGATAAAGTCTGAAGGGTAAAAATCCAAAACCACTCAGGTCGCTGTAAGAGTAATTCAGTATCTCCTCCTCTAGGTGGCATATTAACCCTTTCAATCCCACAAAAGCATAAGGTCGAAACGTCATTGTTTTGGGCAAGAAAATGGGCTGCAACTGGATAATTCACATCTTTTCTCCTAATAGAACTCTTGTGTTCACTAACTCTTTAAGTTGACGTTATGTTTTACCAACATAGCCTAGACCACAGGGACAACGAATCAAATAAACAACATGAGTGGAGACACAAGTTATAACAGAATTGATTCTATATATTTTACCGGTTCTCGGATGACGGAAGAAGGAACTGTTTCAGATGAAAATTTTTGTTTGCTGAAATTTGTGCATCACTAGTATCATACTACTGTTTGAAGTGTGTTTAGTTTCTCAAAAACAAACCGCATGTAGTGCTGGTGTTGTCGTCTTTAGTTGCTGTATGAGCCAGTGTGTCTTGTAGCTGATGGGCTAGTGTCTGGTTTGCCTGCAGTCCAATCATGGAGCAGAGTCCAGCGGAGGAGAAGCCGTCAGAGCTGGCGGAGTGCAGCATGCATGCTCAGGGCACTATTGTTGGGGAAGGAGTGTCATTAGCTCAGCCGAGTCAAGGGCTTTCTCTGGCCCAACACAGCCAAAGCACTTGCAGCAGCAGACATCCTCTGGCTGCCCTGTCCTTCCCCGACAACACAGCCCTGAGGACACACGACGAGTCCATGAGGAGCAGCACCAGACCTAGCTGGAGCATTTATCAGAGCCCAGAGAAAGAGCCCACACTCCCAGCGACAGACACCGATGTTGATGCTCTCCTGCCGAAGAGGTCCTTTCACAGGTGCAAGTCAGGGAAAAAGCCACTGGAAGAGAACCAGGATGTCTTCCATGAGCAAGATGTCCTCACGAGTCTGAAAGCCGCCCCGGGACCGCACTGGTTCCAGATGAACAGCTCAACGCACACAGCAGAACCAGATCTCGATGTCATGAGTCCTCCTGCGGTCTCTGGAGTGTCCTGGACCATCAACCAGAGCCCTGAGGAAGCTCCCGAAACGGACTTCCTGTGGGAGACAATCCCAGAACCAGTGGGGCAGAATTCAGATGTGCTCTCAGCACACGGGGAAGTAGATGTTCTGCTTCCCAAGAAATCATTCCAGCGGCGGAAATCAGGGGTAAAAGCGCTGCAGGCGTTGCATGAATCTCTCTTAATGAGTCCAAAGCAAGCCCCTAAACCAGCTCAGGAGGAGCCCAGGAGTCCAGATCTAGGCTGGTTCTGCGCCGACAGCCCACAGCAGCCGAGTGAACCAGATTTGGATGTCATGGCCAGCCCCCCGCAGAGCTCCCGGACCCCAGATGCCCCCATGAGCCCGATGGACACATCCAGAGCAGGTATGCAGCCTGTTCAGATTTGATCTCACATGTGGCTTTATAATGCACTGCACACAAAGGCTTCGCCGTGTTTCCTGCGAGGCGCTCATCATGTGCTTGTTTCTGCAGTCTGTGTCCAGCTGCTGTCAGACCCCTGGGATGAGGAGCTGATCGTGTCTCTGCTCTCCAGCCTGCAGCCTCCTCTCTCCTCCAACCCCAACCTCACCGCCTGGAGCTGTCGCCTGCCCACCATCACGCCCAAAATGACCGTCCAGATTGGTACGTCTCGCTAATCTCACGTTTCAATGCTGTTTACTTGGATCGATCAACATGAAACTGCTTATAGAAGGGATCTGTGCATTTTAAAGTCTTTGGGGTAAGTTGCAGCATTCTCTGGGAATTAAAGGAGAAGTTTGCAGAAATTCAACCAGCTTTGTAGAGTTACAATATCAGAAGTAGGGCTGAGCGATAAAACGATAATGATTATTGTGATGTAATTTTCCTCATCACAGTGGGATATTCATATAGAATTCTATTATAATTAATGTAGACATGTTTTAAATATATTAAAGGAGTAAATTAATATAATTAGTGTTTTTGTGATTAAGTTAAAGCGTTTGTGCATTTATACTAAATGTATTTAGACTGCTGTTTTTTTTTTATAAAAAAAAAAACCTAGAAACCATATAATTATATTTTTTACCATGGTATTGAGGTGCAATATGTGTGATTTTTAACTGTGGTTATCATCTGAATGTATGCTACTATGGAAGAACAATAGTTAATGTTAGTAAAATTCAAACAGTCAGAATAATTAAGTTTCACCATATAAAAATGAGGTTGTTACAATTTTTACAGATGTTACTGTTTTTGATAATTAATAGGGATGCACGAAATTGGATTTTTCAACTAATTTTGGCCGATAGCGGATGCTGATACCGATATATTTCATTTTGTTTGGAAACAACACCAAGTCTCACTTGTGCAGAGATTATAAACAAATTGTTTTTAATTTTGGTTAGTTTAACAAAAAAACTTACTTGTTAGAAATAAATAAACAATAATGAAGTTATTTTGTAATGAGAGTACTTTCAAAGCTTTGAAAATAACTATAAATCACTGCAATTTTTTTTTTTTTTTTTTTAGACGGATACAGTGGCAACTTTAACATTTTATTTGAAGATTTAACATTTGAAGATGGTCTAAAGCAAAAGAGTTGTAAAAATTCTGAAAATCTTTTAGAGCTCCTTGTATTTAAGTTTTCAAAACCCGTTTGACCGTTTGGAAAAAAATACATATTATACATTGAATAAATCTTAAGGGTGCTCCGATATGAACATTTTGGCTGATACCGATAACCGATAATTCTTTATATATATGAAAGCCGATAACCAATATGTTGGCCAATAAATCTAAATTCAAATTTTTATATAATTTGAGAACCTGATTACCAAAAAAGTCTCACCATTAAAAGGCATTAAACACTTCAACATAAAGCAGCCTTACAAATAAATAAAATAATGCTTAAATAATGCAAACATGTCACTGGACAAAATTACTTGCGGGTAAAAATTTGTTTTTTTCACAAATCCAATGTGCCATGGATAAATTAAACGGAATAACCTCCGCACCGACAATAATTAAATTATTTTAATTAAACCATAATGTTGATGAAAATAATAAGATACAAAATAAAAGTGGTGGTTATTATTAATAATATATCAATGATTTTGAAAGGTATTTAAGTGTCTTAAATTAATACCACTGTTTCAAATAGCATTTCTGTAGCTGAAGAGCTGAATGAAAACCAGTAAACTGAAGCACTTTGTTAGCGGGTTAATTAAGCTGTATGAGAATCAGATCTTTATACAACATAAACATAATATTATAACTTATATATGCACAAAAAGATGCAAATGCACAAGCGATCTTGAACTAAGTTACGCGCTGGTCAGATGTGTAACTTTTGGACACGCACTTTCACAATTTTTTTTTACGGTAATATTCTCTTTATAATGTTATGTATATGACATTCCCAATTATAGTTATTAATGTTGTGCATTGCTGTTCAAGCTGCCTGCGCTGAAGCTGAATGAACCGGTGAGCTGAAGTGCTGCCAGCTTATATTTAACTCAAGGGAAACGCATAATATATTAGATTAATCATATTAATACAACATAAGCATATTACATATATGCACAAAAAGACGCAAATGCACAAGTGAACTCGAACTAAGTTAAACATCTCATTATAATGTTATATATATATATATATATATATATATATGACAATCCCAATCATAGTTATTAATGTTGTGCACTGCTGCATGCGCTGAACTAAAGATGATCACCCGTAAACTGAAGCGCTCTATTAACCCTCCATTAGCTTAACCAAACGCATTCTATATGAGATAAATCAGATTTATATGCATAAAATAAACACAATATTACAACGTACAATTGCACAAAAGGCTGTAAATGCACAAGCGAAGTTAACTGCTATTCATGAAGGTGTAGCTCCGTTGTGGATGCGCTCTTCCCGTAACAATGCGCTTAAACACGGGCGAACAAAGATTCCATAGCATTATTTTACAGTAGCTAATGATCTCATTATAATATGACAGACTTGCCCTGCACATGTTGCAGTTCATTGTATTTTCCTTTTCGAAGTGATTCAATATTTCAAGCAGTTAAAAACCATCATGGCGAACAGTGCGCATCTGAAGCGTCTCCGAAGGAAGTAATGCATTGTTTATCGGCTTTAAGATATCGGCCAAAATTTCTTATCGGTTCGATAACGATAACCGAAAAATGTACATTTATCGGCCGATACTGATATGGTGACCGATATATCGTGCATCCCTAATAAATCTAAATCTAATCACCATTCAGGCAAAAGTTTGCTTCATGAATGACCACACTGCTGACGTGATCTTCTTGCTAGCACACCCTGAGCACATGCGAGTTATTCGTCTTATCGGCAAGGCATATCGGCATAATTTTTCATTTCGGGCTGAATCCGATGTTTACATTTTAAGCTATTATAACGTAATTATTAAACCCTACACTGACAGTGTATTCAATAGTATGTTGTTTAATTTGAATTCCTTACAATGATGGAAAGCAAATGTGAGCATTTGAATGTGTTCTGTTTGGTCTCCAATCAGATCTGAGTGCTGCACATCCCTGCTATACAGATCTCCTCACATAATGCCTCACTTCCTGTTACTGTGCTTCACTTCCTGTTACTGAGCTCAATGTGTCTCCATGTGCCTCTCTCCCTCAGCTGGAGAGTCGCTGCGAGTGGACTTCGTTCTTGGACAGGGAGCGTTTGCCACAGTGTACCAGGCCACCAACCTCATGAGCACACAGAAACTCTTCCTAAAGGTAACGAGAGAGCACACAAATCTGATCTACAGATATTAGTGACATCACACACATCACCTGCAAAGCTTTCCCTGAGTGCTTCACTTTTCAGCAAAATCCACCTGCACTTGTAGCGACTCTGCAAATGAGAAAGTTCGAGCAATCAGTGTTGGGGAAAGTTACTTTTAAAAGTAATGCATTACAATATTGTGTTACTCCTTAAAGTAGCTAATTACGTTACTTAGTTACTTTTTATGGAAAGTAATGCGTTATGTTACTTTTGCGTTACTTTTTAAATCTGGACAGGGCTTGCTTGTTTGTTTTTAAAATAAAAAAGTTATATTTTTGGCAAATATAAAAGCCTTTTCACACCAAAAGTGAAATGAGCCGTCAGTCAATAAACTGGAGAAAAAAAAAGTAACTTGCGTTACTTATTTGAAAAAGTAATTCAGATATTCTCTTGTAAATTAAAAAGTAATGCGGTACTTTACTAGTTACTTGAAAAAAGTAATCTGATTACGTAACTCACGTTATCCCCAACACTGCGAGCATCATGTTTAAACTCATGGTGCTGCATGACGTGCTACATTGGTAGAAATAAAGCAAATAGCAGCTTTTCTTGTGCTCGAACTAGCAACTAGCTTCTGTTTGTTCTTCCTCCGCTGCCCTCATAGGTGCAGAAGCCAGCGAACCCGTGGGAGTTTTACATGGACAGCCAGCTGAACGCCCGTCTGCAGCCCAGCGTGCGGCACCTCTTTAACACCATATACTCTGCCCACCTCTTCACCAACGGCAGCGTCCTGATCGGAGAGCTGCACAACTGTGGCACGCTGCTGGTGAGGACCGCCTGTGTGCATAAAACGCTTCACAGCCCATCAGACGAGGGCCACTGTCCTCAAGCATGAAGGCCAGTCGTTCCACAGTCTTCATCTCTAGTTTGACTGGCCAGTAGGGCTGTGTGATATATATCGTCTGCGATTAATATCGTAATTGTTGTTTTAACGATGTGCGATTTGACATTGAGTATTTTGCAAAAAACATTCAAAACACCCCTACAGAGCGCACGCATACATCACGTGAAGTCTAGACTAGTGCGCGTTTAGAGTGCTTCTTTCACGGCATGATTCAGTCTGTTAAAATGCATTTAGAATGATCACAAATTCAAGACATGATGGCAGAAAATGTATATATTTATACCACTTCATATAGTTGTTAATTTCACACGAAGAGTGTTGTTTTTCTCCAAATATTACCATGATTACAAATGTGATATTGATTTTTTACAACAGTTAATCAAGAGACTTACATTTTAGACAGCATATTGCCTGCAAAAATAATTCCAAACACAGCCACAGTGCTGTTCTGCGTCTCTGAGCAACATGACGGTGTTTCGTTCCCGAATGAATCAACCGTTTAAATTATTTGGTTCAATCGCAATGACTCACTTATTAACAGACACTTGCTGCCACCTGCTGGCGGTTTTAATTTCTTTTATTATTTAAATAATTTCAAATATCAGTATTCAACGTTTTGTTTAATATATCAAAACATTATTTATGCATTTGTAATTGCAGGGTAAATGCATTCATGTCTTGTATTAAACAGTGTGTAAATGCATCTAAATGCCACTTCAGATGCAGCTTCTGTGTTGATTTCATTTGCTTGGTAACAGCCCAAATGTCTTATTATTCTAATTCCCTGATTAAATGTAAGAATTTGACTCAAAAGATAATGGACACTTTTAGAAAAAATGGCTTTATAAAGGTAAAAATGCCCATAAAATGCAAAAATCAGTTTAAACTTATTGGAAAAGATTAATTTC